TATATATATATATATATATATATATATATATATATATATATATATGTCTGTGTGCATTTATGTGTGTGTATGTATGATGTTCTATCATAGTGTCTGGAAAACATTCAGATGAAAACTTCTTACATATTCAGTACAATTTAAATTAAAAAGCATTTTCCATCTAACATTACTTAAGTTTGTGGTTATGAAAGGAACAAATAAAGGGCCGGTTGTATCTAAAATGTATTGTCCCTCTCTTCTCTTTGGGCTTTTTCTCTTTATAACTGGGAAACTGTCCATTCAAATTTTCCTGAAGGTGTCCACTTTTACTGTAAGTTATTGACTATACACTCTTAAAAAGTTCATACTAACATTGCTTGCTTTAAAAAAACATGCAATTTCTTCATGCTAGTGCATATGGGAGCAAGCTCCTGAGTTTTAATTTATGTGTTTTGTTAAGAATGAACCTATCTTCAAATCAACTGGTAATAGAGCTGGGCCATGTTGTCACACACCTTTAATCACAGTACTCGGGATCTCTGAGATGGAGGCCAGCCTGGTGTGCAGAGCAGGTTCCAGGACAGCCAAAGCTACACAGTGAAACTGTGTTTCAAATAAAAAAAAAATAGTAACAGGAATACACAACTTGCAAGACTTCATTCCCAGAGCCCAGAGGAGACTTTTAAAGCTTTACCTACATCACTAATGGATCTGCTAACAATGTTGTACATGTAAGTTCTAACAATGAGGGTTACTTCATGTGAAAGAAGCATCTATTCCATGTTTATCACAGCAGTGGGTACAGTAACCAGGACTATGGAATCACCCTAAGTGCCCATTGGTGTATGTTACAGGTCCTACAAGGCTGACTGATTAGAGCATTGCCATTATAGAGCTAGATTCTCACTGCAATCTAAAGAACTACTCAGAAGCTAAGGGTAGAATGTTGATTACTAAAGGCTGAGTCAGCAGGGAGTAGAGGTAACACTGTGTGAAGGAGTGTCTCTGCATAGTCAATTGCTCATTCTGTTCTGGCAGAGAGCTAAAGACTGGGAGGGTGTTGGTATTGTTATTTCTATGGCCCATCATGAGTCTCACAGTTTGTAAATATTCATTCTTCCTCACCCGCATAAAGTGAATTGTATCTGACTGACTGCAATAAAGATCTGATGGCCAATAGCTTGGCAGGAAGTGGAGGGTAGATCTTTTGGGCAGAGAGAGGAATGCTGGGAGAAGATTCAGAGGCAGGAAGATTCAGCCAGCTGACATGGAGCTGAACAGAGCAGAAAAGTGGAGCTGGCCACGTGACAGGACATGATGCCAAGATTAGTAGGGTTAGAGTAGCTGAAAGGCCTAAGCTCTAGAATATTAAAAAGTTTCTGTGTAAATCACTGGCACGTCTGAGAAAGTCCCGATATAGGAGGGAGTTAGGAAGATAATGATAAAAGGAAACAGGATTTCAGTTAGAAGGAAAGTTCAAGAGATCTACTGTTCAACATGGTGACTATAGCTAACAGTGGGGCATATACTGCATGATTGCTAGCAATGGCTTGTAAATGTCCTCACCACAAAAGGTGAGATAATAGCTCACCCTTTTTAGCTCAATGTAGCATGCATACTTCAAAGTACATACATCATACATGTACAACACAATATACATAAATTACTTGTTAATTCATTTCTTGAGTTGAAGAATAAGAGAAGAAAGAAACACGCTTGACTTATTCCCAGCAATCTGTGACTAGGAGGATGCTACAGAAACAGCTATTGGTACCCAGGACACAGGAGAGACTGAAGTCCCCTGGAAAATTCTTTGATCCCTCTAGTTGACACTCCCTGGGTCACCTGGGCTGCTAAAGGGCATTGCACATGTGGTCTATGCACAGCTCTAAGAGAAGTCAGTATCACAAACAGAAGGTTGTATTGGTATTGTAGTGGACAGTAGTAAATACGCAAAACATATAGGGAGCTCTTTGTTTCACCCTCCTTCTGCTTTACCTATGCTTTCCCACCTGTCACCAGCCTATGTGTGCATGTATGTGTGTACGATCTATCTATCTATCTATCTATCTATCTATCTATCTATCACCTACCTTCTATCACCTGCCTGCCTATGTATGTATGTATGTATGTAAATATGTATGTGTATCTTTCTTTCTCTCTCTCTCTCTCTCTCTCTCTCTCTTTCTTTCTTTCTTTCCTTTCTTCCTACTGACCACCTATTACATGTTCTCTCTCTTCTCTCTTTTTCTCCAGTCTCTGTATGCCTTTACTTTTTGTTTCCTGATTTCTAATTCCCACCCTGCTTCAGTGGGTAGAAACCCTCAGTGCCCAGCCTTTCTTCCATTTTTTTAAAAATAAGAAACACAAGAAAACTTTTGAAAGTACATGTATTTGGCTATAATATTCAGATTCATGGTTCTAAGTCTTCTGCCTCAGGCTAAACCCATGGATCCCAACAGCTGGATCCCAAACAGCTGGGGACCTAGTCATTCTACTTGAACTATACATTTTTGCTCTTCCCTTGTTATTTTATTGAAGGGCTCCAAGCAACATTGGCAGCACAATGTTCATATAACAATATCATATACCAACTTAACTATGACACAAATGTCACTAACTTACTGAAATTCATGTTATGAACACATAATGGAAAAATGATCCTCAAAACAGGAAGGTGAATATTAACCAATGGGACAAAACTATCTTCCAGAGATAGACATAACAGTTCAGGATTCAGTTTGGCTTAAGGGCCCCGAGGTCAAAGTCCTATGTTTGTATCTTCAGAGGCCCGAGGTTTTGGATGAGGCGGCTCAGGAAGGTGTCCAGCCGATTCCTGGACCTGTATGCTATCAGCCCTCCTTTGTTGGCCCAGAGATCCACTCCAGAAGCACCTTTATTTTCCACGTGATACAGTAGTTGTGGCAAATCTAGTCCTGTGTCTGGACTTCTCTCTAAGCACTCTTTCAGGTCTACAATGCCCCCGCCCATGGCCCTCAGAATGGCGTGGGCGGCACAGGAGTCCCACTTGTACGTGGTGTCCTCTGAGAAGATGTAAATGTCAGCCAAGCCCTGGACTACACAGAGGCTCTTGTAGCCAGCCCCCGCTGCAGGGAAGACGCTACCTTCGCACACTCGTGATACAGCGGCTTTGATGGTGTCTTTTTCGCTGGTACTGATGACTGCAGAAAATGGGCTGGAGAACTCCCTGTCAGAGTTTTCAGTCTGGGTTTCACTGTCACTTTTAGAGATGTCGAGCTGCAGGGAATGGATGTTGGTCCCCATGTAAGAGAGTCCCCAGTAGCACTGTCCCTTCCACCTGCAGGAAACAGTTTTAGGTGCTGATTAGCATGTTTGTTTTACTCAAATGCCTCAAAGCAAAATGAGTTTTAATGCTTCTGAGCCTATAAATGAACATCGAGCTATTAATTAATTCTAGGAGTGTCCTGTAAGCGCACAGCTGCCTGTGTTATTGTGAGAGCGGCACTAACATTTTGGTGCACTCGCATATCTAGCTGAGATAGCAGTAAAGTACTGATGCAGTTTTTGACCTCTACCAACGATGGCAAAGTTCAGTGCTGCTTTTGTCATTTAAAGTCTCAGAGGAAAAGAGATGAGCATCCAAGTCTTAAAATCTCTCAGTTTCCCTCCCAGGCCTCCTGTCACTCGCTTACTCCTTTTTACTCTGATTCACTTTGCCTTTTAACACCATGAGTGGACTCATGTTGTTATTTTTGGCAACAATAGATACCAACTTTGTCTATCCACTTCCCCTCTGAGTCAGGTACTCTCTTTACAGATGAGAGGCTAGGGGTGGGGAAAGCAAATCAGTTGCTTAGGCCACCTGGATCCTTAAGTGGTAGAACCTGCATTCAAACCCAGGGGCTCGCTGAATCTGGCTGAGTCTGTGGCCCACTGACGCTAGCCTTGTAGTCCTGTCTTAGGAGAATCAGTCTCTGGAGTGCTGGGCTTACAGGTGTGTATCTCCATGCCCAGTTTTAATGATCTTTTAAAACATTACCAAAACATATTTGGTCTGAAGAAAACAAGAATTCCAGAGGCTTAAACTTTAACCCCACCCTTCCTTATCTGAAGTAAGCTGAAGATAATTAGAATAGACAGTCCTATGGGACAGAGACTGCAAGTCTTTTTCAATGGAGAGCAAAAGATACTGCCTCTGTTGAAACTCTGCTATGCCTTGAGTCAGTGCTTCAGCACAGATGCTCCTGGCCATTCTCCAGGCTGTGACAGAGTCAGTAGAAAGGCAGGGAGATAGAGGGTGGAAGAGAGCTGACCCTGGTAGTATTTGGAAGGAGTTGGTGTCCATCCTGACCACATCTGTCAATCATTCCACTGAACACTCTACACATGTTGTTCTGTACTTCTGTCATAACACAGAAATTCATCTGGCCACACAGTGGCGGAGTCTACCGTGTTCCTATGTATCTGAAGACACTGTGTAGCATTAATCTGTACGTGTGGTTTTGAGTGAATTTTAGAATCAAGAATAGGATTGCTATATCTCAAATGCAAAGCGATGATTTCTCCAAGACAGCATTAATTTCTTTGAAAGTATCAGTGTGCACTTAAACCCTAACTAAACTATGCCAACTCTGGGACTGAAGATAGAAGGCATTTTAATCCAGTCCTGTGGACTCACAGTGGGAATGCCCCCACAGAATCCATAATTCCCATAAGAATGTCGTGTACAGCAGCAATCCTAACAAGCAAAGCTGAGGCTGGATGATCAAAACTGAAAACATCCATCTTTTACCTTAAAGTAGTTGAGTTTTGGGACACAAAAGGCTGATTAATGACCCCCATCAGGGGCAGGCCTGTCTGTAGGTCATAGACGCCAATTAAAATGGTCACGCACTGAAGTCCACTGGGGAAAACTCCTTTGTTGGATTTAACATTGGCAGAACCTTTAATATACTGGTAAGTGGAATCTGAAAACATGAAGCAAATGAACAGGTTGTTTAAAAGTAGTGGTGACACTCTAGGAGCTTTGCCCTGTGTAAGTTCCCTTCTAATTTAGTAACCAATCAAATTTCACCTCTGAGCACTGCCCACACTGAATCATTTGAACACTCATAAGCTACTTGTGCTGTATTATGCTCCATTCTCTGAGTGTATGAGAACTTTAAAAATTGTTTCAATTGTTGTGTTGAAATAGGGTTTCTGTGTAGAAGAGGCTAGTTTCTAACTGTAGATCTTCTTGCTTCTGCCTCTTGAAGCTGAGGACAGGGTGACAATCCTGTAGAATCTAGCATAGCACCTTGCATATTATAATTCCTCAAGGGCAGTTAGGGCTGGGGAAATGACTCAGTGGATAAAGTACTTGCTTTAACAGCGTGAGGACTTGAGTTTGGATTTGCACTACCCGTGTAGGATATGGGGCAAAGTACATTACGCTTAAAAATCCCAGTGTGGAGAGGCAGAGGCAAAAGGAGCCCTGGGGTTTGCTGGATGGCCAGTCTGACAGGATCAGTGAGCTTCACATTAAGTGGGAAAGGAGTGAGTCTACAAGTGCAGCGTGTATGTGCCCTGTGAACAGGAGCACATACACACACCTTTAAAAATGCATTTAACTGGCAAACAGTGGTCGGCTTGTGCTGAAAATGGTGCTAGGGTTACTTGTTTGCTTGTTTGCCTGTTTGTTAAGAACTGTTAATACTCAGAGGAACAAAGAGATGGAACAGTCTCCTTCTAGGAACCCATCAGACCTGAGATGGCCTATTATGTTGTTATCATCTGCCTCCTCAAGATGCAAGAAAGGAGATAATGACACCAGCATAACAGAGAAGTTAACAGTGCTTGTGAAGGTTGATTTTGGTTGTCAAGTTGACTGGATCTGGGATTAACTAAGTGCTGTGGGTCTGCAAAGGTATTAGCTGGAAGCATTACTTGAGGGTAGGTACAATCCTCCCCCAGAGGGAATGGCACCTTCCAGTAGCCTAGCAATAAAGATGTCTGAGGAAAAGCAGTGCTGATTTTGCCTGTCTGCTTTCCTCCTTGGTGCTGCAAGTGCTTACGCTGCTGCTGCTGCTGCTGCTGCTGCTGCTGCTGCTGCTGCTGCTGCTGGCATCCTTCACTGAGGTCAGAATCTTAGCTTCTCTAGGCTTCCAACATGGTCTAAAGACCAGTGGTTTCCAGGAATTCTCCAGACTCTTAGTGTCAGAGTTGGACTACTGAGGTATCCAGCATTGTAGACTGAGCAGCTAACAGCATCTCCAGTGTGCAACAGCCACTGTTGGACTGCTTAGTCCCTACCAATCTAATAAATCTGCTTTTAGTATCTATTCATTCTATTGGTACTCTCCCATCCCATGAACTGGCACACAGTGAAAGATATTCTGGCCAATGACCCAGAGAACCAACAACCATCTCTTCAGGGTAGAACTAAGACACAGGAGATCACTGTCCCTCAAAGTTGTAATAGATGTCAATTCACTCTTACATAGCCAAAGATTTGGGGGGAAATTCCTGGTGTTCATATAGAATACACTGGCTGAATGTTACGCAGCTATCTGATGTCACACTGTGTTGTGTCAATGCACATGCAGAATAGGTGCTATCACAGTTGTCTGTCTCAGTATAATGACAGCTTCCAGTGTGTGAAGCAGAATTTACCAGGGAGATAGCGAAGTGAGGAGACTTTGCTCCTAGGAATTTGTATTTATAGTGCTGTTGAGGAAAGGGGCTACATTTAAAAAGCAACACATTATAATTACAATTCTACCATAAAAGGACAAGAATTTAATAAGCTTTATATTGGCTTGCAAGTTGCTCAAGACACATTCAGCTGTTTGGCTTGACCTTGTGTTTTGACTGTTGCCTGAGTGAGTTTTCAATGATTTAAAGTTAGAGTTGGGTTTAGTGTTTTGAAATCTGCAGATCTACCCTTTACTCACATATGGCAGGAAGCTGTTGGAGTTGAGCTCCATGTAAGTGCTCAAACTGCTGCCACTCCACGGTCTCACTGATTAAGACAGTCTGAAGTCATTTACAGATTAGTCAGTTCACACTGTATGCACATGTGTGTGTGTGTGTGCACCTGTGTGTGTATGTGTGTGTATGTGTGTGTGCACAAGTGTGTGTGTATGTGCGCACACACGTGTATGGCTCACAATCATATGTAACTCCAGTCCCAGGGTATCTGATGCCCTCTTCTGGCCTCCATAGCCACTGCACACACATAGTATATGATTTTTTTTTTTTTGCCGACTTCCATACACATAAAATAAAAATAAATAATAATAATAATAATAATAATAAAAATTCTCTGGACATGACATGACTAAGGCACTTATAACCTCACAGCAGCAGTGGCCACTGATGTAAGCTCTCATGGGATCAAGCTAGCCAAACTTTCAGCACAGGGGGAGAGGCTCATGAGGAGCTGTTGGCAGTTGGCTACTAGAGAAGGGAAAATTATTCTTTTGGGAAGGGTTGCTCCTATGTGCCAGTGGATATCTCCACACTCATGTACCTAGTTGAACAGCAGTAATTGGATTTAGTGAATTTCTAAAATAAAATAAAGACATGACAGTGGGAGTGGAACATGTTGGGGAGGTCTGGGAAGAATTGGGGTTATGAGCACATTTCATTGTATACATGTACGAAATTCTACAAAAACAAACAAACAAAAAAATCTTCTAGGAGATCTAGTGTTCGGACAGTCTCTATTTCTTAGAGCTGTCATCAGCCCCGAGAAGAACACCATGGACTAGAACGAATGAGAAAATGAATGAGAAAATGCACATGGAGCGGCCCCACACTTACCTATGGGATCCACCCAAATCCCAAGAATCTCCTGTGGGATGCTGATCTCCAGTGACTCCAGAGTGGGATCAGTTAAGTCCACATCCTCATGAACCACCTTAGCCAGTGCCTCAGATGCCAGCACGTTGCCATTAAGGACCCTGCTGAGAAGCTCTGCTGTTTCCTCCTCCGTGGACTGCAGTTCCACTGTGATCTTTTCCCCTAGAATAAAGACAAACTGGAGCCACTCCTTCTTAGGCAGCCTGGGAGAAGAAAGAGCAGGCGCAACGGGACAGGGAGGGGGATGGGTGGCTGAGCTGTGCTCCTAGGTTAGGTGCCACAGCAATGATTCTGCAAGGATCACCAGCCACACTTTACAAAGCTGTGGGTGCTGGCGGCTCCACAGCCTTCAACTCAGTGGAGAAGCTAGGTTCCGGAACTCCGGCTGCTGCCCAGAAAAATATCTACATGGACAAAGTTTTGCATTCTATTTAAGGGGCTGCACAGACCACATGGAATTCTTCAGCCTTTGATGATTGGTCTATCAATTAGTTTTGCGTTTGACTTTTCAAGCGCATAGGTTGCTCCATCCATTTCAGAATGTTACTGAAAAGACCATGTAGATTTTATTCTCATATGGAAATGCTTCTACTTCCTTCTGTAATACTGCTTTCAACAAAAATAGTTTATGTTCTCTAATATCAGGTGATACATAGTAATCTTTGAATGCATTAAAACTTGGTAGAATAAAATGACACAAAAACTCCCCTATGTGACAGCATCTGGAAGCCAGGTGTTAGCTGGCTACCTCTCCAATAGAAACAGAGAAAAAAAGCCCTGTACTAGCATCTCCTGAAACATGCAGTTTGGAACACTAGTGAGTCTGGCTGCCAGCTTCCGGGAGAAGAGAAAGAGGAGGCTGAGAAAATAAGCAGAGTTACCTGGACATGGTAGCAATACCTAAAATCCCAGCACTTTGGAGGTGGATGTCAGAGGATAAGGATTTTAGGTTCAGCCTTGGCTACACAACAATTGGAAAGTCAGTTAGGACCACACAAAAACCCTATCCCCACCTTAGTAAAAGGTATAGCAGATTAATAGTACAGCCTGACAGCTGAGGTGAGTATGGTGGGGCACTCCTATAATCCCAATACGCAGAGGAAGGCTTGCTTGTGTTCAAGGCAGTCTGTGCTCCCTAGTGCGACCTTCTTAGAGAAAAGGGGAACGAAGGGGTTGCAGATCCACCGTCCTACCTACCCCAGCAGTTCCAATCAGCAGCACCTGTGAGCTCTTTGGAACTACTCCCGGCACTACCTGGATGTACTGCATTTTCAGGGAAGTCTAAGATCTGATAGGATCAGCACAGCTTAGGACTCAATGGGAATCAATTGATCACAGTAATAATTCTGGGTGGGTGTTTTGCTTGTTTGGGGGATGCTGGAGATTCAGCTCAGGGTCTCCAGGAATGCTGAGCAGGTATTAACCACAAAGCTGCCTCTCCAGCCCACAGCAATGACTCTGAGCTATCAGTCACTGAAATATACTTAAATTCGTGTTTTGTTAGACTGTTAAAATTGGGGGCTAACTGCCACACACATAGTGGTGTTTCCAGCTTACTAAAAATCATGGACCATTCAAGTGAGTATGTCATATGCTTAAGCTTGGCCAGCTGTCTCCAACACACTTAGAGGGAAGCCCCATTGTAGTGCCAGCCAGAACCACAGTCTCAGTCCCCTTTCCCTGTTTCTCATTCCTTTTATAGACAAGAAAATGAATGTGGAATGGTTTTTGCCTCTTCATTTCTAGACAAATGAAGCATTTAACTGTTTATAAAAGAGCCAAATATAGTATTATAAATTAAATGTATTGTGAGTTAATCGCAATAGTTATTTCTAACTTTTAGAAGTTTAAGTAAGATTTCTGTCTTCTGAGAGTCATGGAAATGTACCAAGTGGACAGTTCATGCCTGTAGTCTCTGCTACAAGTCTGGTCAACACAGCAAGGCGCTACATCAAACGGGACAACAGAAAAAGAAAATTAAAAACTTGTACAAAAGGAACCTTCTGGTTAAGCCAAGTACCTTTACAGAGGTTCTGAGATGAAATACAGGGGCAACTGGAGCAACATCATGCATTATTCCAGGTCTGAGGTATCTGCTATACTCAGCCAAGAGCTGTAGAGCCCAGGGGTCCCCAAATGGACTTAAATCCTGCCCAGACACTATCTGCTCAACCATGTAGATGAACATCTTTCTGGGGCACCAATGACCACATTAAATTGTCAAAAGTCTATAGAATTTTCCCACTTACTAAATTGCTACAGATTTAAATTTAGAATGATTCACGGGCTGCTAAATTATTCCAAGAAACCACCTCACTTCTAACTTAAATGTCACGACATTATGAGGTAGAGTCTAAATAAAGCTTCATATTTAAGCCTGTTATGCTCTTTACCTAAAAAGTCTCCTAACATTAATTTATGTTGTGGTCTGAGTTAGGGATTAGAATAATGTGATAACCATTATATAACACAGAAAAATTCTTATACTTACCCAAATCATTTGTAAACTCATTGGATTCTTCTCCAAAAATTTTTTTCCCCAAGCCTGGAAACTGAATGAGTCAGAGTTTGACAAAAACAAAAACCAAAATGACAACAAAGCCCACCTCCACAATCTGTTCCTAAGGGAATTCGATGAGCAAAGTTAGATCTGAAACTCAAAAATGTCCATTGTAGAAGTCAGCTTGAACCCTGAACTAAGTCAGTTTGGTTCTGTGCTTAGTTTTCTAATATTTTCCTGTCTCTTTGCCAGTTCAGAAAGCCTATGCATGGCTGAGTACTGGCTTCCTATGTACTTTCAGCTTCCTGCTGGAGTCACAGGACTAGGGATATATGTTAACTCTGCTCCTAATGCTACCCTGTGAATACTCAAGTCCCCCAAATAATTTCCTTTTTAAAAACATATTTATTGATGCATGTATATATTTTAAGTATATGGGTATTTTGTCTGCATGTATGTCACACCAGAAGAGGGCACTGGATCCATTAGATGATTGTAAGATGCCACGTGGATGCTTAGACTCCAACTCAGGTTCTCTGGAAGAGCAGCCAGTGCTCTTAATCACTAAGACATCTCTCCAGTTCCTAAAATAATAAAAGCGAAAAGACTGGAAGGCAGTCTCAGGTTCTCTTTCCATTTTCAGGTACATCTCTGTACCTGTCAGGTATGTCATTACCATTCAGGCTAGAAGATGACAGAAAAGAGAACAAGAAGGAGAAAGAAGAGAGATACTGTAGTAACCCATGGCGTAAGCATCAACACAGAGTGAACAGGGAACCAAATTCGACTTTTCTCTCTTCTCTGTGTCATGCTCAGATAAACACAGTTCACTCCTGACTCTCAGAAGATTCCCCCCCCCCTCAAAATATTGCTGACTCAGATGTTGCTGCTGTTTTCGGGAAGGAACTGCTTCACATCCTTAAACTTGCCCATCCCCAGAGGGCCAAACCACCATGATGGCCAAACCGCCTGCTACTCTTTTTTTTTTTTCTCTCTTGCAGAAGAGAACAGGCCTATAAGGGCTGGCAATCTGCCACTCTACCAGCCCCCACACCTGCTCACAGAGCTGTTGAGAGGAATGCAGACAGAGGGGGCCTAAAATAGAAATGTCTAAAGCAGTTCAAATGGAAAGTATTTGTTTCATAAATTCCGGCATTACTTCATGAACAATTGCCTGGGCTTGTTCTAATGTTTTGCGGCACATATTAACCCATAAAAGTAATGTTGACACATATCCAGTCCAGTTGCCCAACCAGCCTTTGTATCCATGTGTCTCCGTTGGTAACAACAGAAAACAAGCTTCCTTCATTTAGCTCGCCAAAGCCAGGTAGTAAAGGGCATTAAGAAAATGTAGTCTGTGGAGATTTTATATAATTAATGTATTCTCTTCTCACATCAGTGATCAAGATTTTACTTAATTCTATAGTAATCCTTGGGGTCAAAAAGTTCATTAAAGATATTGAAATGTTTTATATTATTTTCTATCATAAAGCTCCATCATCCCAAATTAAAAAAAAAAAAAAAAGAGGCGGGGAAGGAGTCATATAAAAGACAACAGAATTCCCAATGACACAGACTCAGGAACCATTTCCTGTATTCAAGAACTCAAGCTATCATGCCGTGCTGTGTAAATTCAGGCAACTTATTCCAGCTCTGTGTGACATCCTCATCCCGGTAGAACAATGGCTCTAACCTTACAAAATTCTTATAGGGTTAACAAGCTCAGATTTGTGAAGCCTGGTACTCAGTGAGCACTTCTATGCCCGCTGGTGTTCCTGTTACCACTCCAGAATCCTGGCTTTTTCTAGCTATTTCCACACACAGAAACACAATCACTGTCATGACCATATTTTTATAGCAGAATAAAGGGAGATTTCACCTAATTCTGAGCTCATAACTAAGGCAAAACATTGATAAATGGTTTAGCTGAAAAGCCAAACACTGCTCTGAGATAAGTGGGTCAGGCCATGGGCACACAGAGAGAAGCTTCAGTGATCCCCAGCATCATGTAGCTCAGTGTGCTCTGGTGCAGAGAACATCTATTATTTACTAACAAGAAACCCAGCAATAGTGAAAGGATCAATACTGTAAGTTCATGTTAGGAATCTGAGTGCCCTCATCCTGTTTGTTTTTCTAAACTTCAATGATTTCCTGCAAAGACCCTTTTAATACTGTAATAAAAAATAAGGTAGGGCCACAAGATGTTTGTTTGAACCTAAGAGAACATACGAATCAGTAAAAGACTTGCTGTTTATTCTGAGGGGACCAGAGGAGGCACAGAGTCAGGTGTCTTGCAGCTCTCGTGGCCTGACCTCTTACCTTGTTCTCCATGTTCTGTTTTATAACTTCCTGCACCAGCACATCCGCCAGGGTCTTGAAATCTGCAGCAAACTTCTTGTTCTTCTCTGCACCTTTCTTCTCCTCGATGAGCAGCTGGAAGAGGGCCTCCTGCTGCCGGCATGCCCTGGCAATGTTAGCAGCCTTCTCAGAGACACGGAGCAGTTCCAGGAGGACGTCTGACATTTCTAAAACCTGCTTCTCAGCCTCACCCACCCTCTGGCTCTCAGCTGCAAGAACACAAGAACATGAAAGAGAAAGCAGTTCAGAGAGCGAGTAATGTCAGGGTGCCTCTCCCACTAACACCCAGCTGGCAGCAACCTGTCAGTGAGGCTGACCTGCTAGTGAAGCACTGCACATGCACATTTTCAGCATGCAAGACTAACGTTACAATCTAAATATTGAAACAAACTTAGTTTTCAAAATCTCATAAAGCAATTACACTCTCAAGGAGCTGAATTTTCACTGAAAGAAAAAAATCTTTGAATGAGAATTTATGTTATAGGGCCATAGCAAGACAGAGTATCACAATGTCAGAGGAAAGGTAGATTCTTACAGGGACTTTAATCATAACACAGCTTTATCATGAGGATTGAGGCAATACTCTTCTCTGTGAGAATGGTGAGGGGTGACATTCATGCTGCCAGATCCATGTGCTAAGAGGACGGATGAGCAGCAAGCATTGTGTCCTCCAGACTCTGAGGCAACTCTTGGGCAAGCACTGTAAAGCATCTCACAGACAACTCCACTGAAAACATTCCAGTGACATATACCATCTGCCACCAAGTAGCAGCCTACACACCCAAAGCAAGGGGAAACTTGCACCTTTTCAGACTTGAGAAGTTCTGCCTTCTAAGAACCATGTAGTATGGCTACATTGTTCTTTCTGTTTTTCTTTCTTTCTTTTTAGCCCTGGTTGTCCTGGTACTCACCCTATAGACCAGAGTAACCTGGAACTCAAGAGATTCATTTGCCTCTGCCTCCCAAATGCTAGGACTAAAGGTGTGCACGCCACACCTGGCTCCTATCTACTGGAACTGCCTCAAAATGCTTCTGTGGGACTCTTCTTGTTCAATCATTCTCTTGTAAATCATTCTGCTTCCTGTGTTGTGAGGGTTACCCTGCCTGTGTGACATACAGTTTGGGAACTGAAGCTTATGGGGTTGAATAACTTCTAAAAAAAAAAAAAAAAGGCTACACATGACTAAAACGTGGGGCTCACAATTGCTCACACCCCACATTAGGGTTCTTTATTATCACAACAGTTTCCTCTATGAAGAGAAGCTTGAGGCTTGGAATCACTCATCTGTGAAAACACTGGTGTGGGGGTGTGGTTAGCTATTATAGCCTGTTTGTCTTACATTTGCTCAAAAACAACTTTGCTTTTCTTATGATTGACTGTCTGAGGAAATACGCTCCGCAACAGAAATGAAGGATAGGTGACCAACACAGGGAGATGTCCCTTGTCACTACTGCAGTTGCTTTACTGCCAGTGGTCATCTCTGGAGGGCAGTGGTAGACAGGTGCTAACTCCCTGACACTGGAAACACACAGGTTTCCAGGGAGCGGCTGACATACTGTACCAAATCCCTACCCAGGACTCTCTCTCCTCAGTAACATTAAGTCCTTCCTTAATCTCTGGTAAGAAACTAAGAGTTAAAATATTTTCATACAAGGTAGATGAAAATTATTTAAAGCAGGACAGAGTTTAAACGAACATGTTTTGTTTTGCTTTTGAGGCAGGTTGGCTCTCAGGCTGCCCATGAGAGGGTAACCTCATGTTGCCCAGGCTGCCTCACTATTTTGCTGTATACCTTGAGGATGACCTTGAGTACTTCACGATACAGCCTCCCCTTTCTGGCTAGGATTGCACCTATTACTCTAATAAACACCACGCCTAAATCAATTTGAAGAGGAAAGGGTTTATTTGGCTTATACTTCTGGTCATAATCCGTTCCCAAGGAAATTCAAGGCAGTAACTGAGGCAGGAACTATAGGTAAGTGAGGCTTCCTAAGCTAGTCCCTGGCTGCTCAGCTAGCTTTCTAATACAGACTAGGACATCCTGCCTAAAGATGGTACCACCCACAGTAGGCTGGGCCCTGTATCAATTAGCAGCTAAGAAAATGTCCTGCTGACATGCCCACAGTCCAGTCTGATGGAGGTAATTGTTCAGTTGAAGTTTTCTCTTCTCGGATATGTCAAATTGACAGTAAAAACTAACCAGCAGCATAACGTCTGTCCAAATCACAATTTTGTGTATGTGTTTATGTGTGTTGGGGAAGTTACATTTGTATGTGGGTGAATGTGCTTGTGGGTGTGCATATTCAAGCAGGTGCACAGGCATGTGCATACAGATGTATGTTGGTGCATGTGCACTTGGGTGTGCATGTGCATGTGGGTTCATGTGCATGTAGGTGTACATGCTGTGTAGATCAGAGGTTTGATATTTGGTGTCTTCCTTAAACAGTTCCCCACTTTATATTTGAGACAGGATAGCTCATTTAACTCAGAATCCATAGATCCACTGGAGTGGCTGACTAGCAAGCCCCAGGGATCTGCCTGTTTCTGTTTTCTAAGTAGTGGGATCAAAGGCATGATCACTGCTTTGTGTAGGAGTGCCGGGGGACAAAGTCAAGCCTTCCTGCTCTGCACACCTTACTGACTGAGCCGTTTTCCCAGCCCTAGCTCCAAAACCTTAAATACTGGTAAAATGTAAGAATACTATACTGTGTGGCCTATAAATAATGTTTCTGAGGAATGATTAATAAGGAAAAACTAAGTACAAAATAACCTATGACCATAATTATGTATGTATGTATGTATGTATGTATGTATGTATGTATGTATATGTGTGTGTCTATGTGTGTGTGTAATTATATTATCAATTCATGTGTGGGAACTAATAGATGATGTTTTCAAGGTAGTCAATATATAATGTAGTTGTAGATGACTTGACTTTTTCATACTCAAATATTCTCCAGTAAATCTGTAGTTCATATAATTACTTTATATGTTATAATTCTATAAGAAATGACATTTAGTGTTCTGTGTCCTGCAGGTCTGTGAGTGGGACTGAGCCTCGGGTATTGCACATGTTTGTCAAATGTTTTACATTGAGGTACCTCCCTATCTTTAATATGAGACAGGGTCTTGTTAACCTGCCCATGCTGGCCTTCACCTGGATATATAGTTCAGGCCAGCCTTGAACTTCTGAACTTTTCACCTCAGACTCACAAATAGCTGGGATTACAGGCCTTCACCACCAAGCCCAGCAAAGAAATGACAATTAAAAAAAAAAACCAACAAACTAAAAATGGCAAGGCAGTGGTGGTGAACACCTTTAATCCCAGCACTTTGTAGGCAGAAGCAGACAGATCTCCAAGTTCAAGGCCAGTCTAGTCTACAGAGCAAATTCCAAGACAGTTAGAACTATATAGAGAAACCATGCCTTGAAAAACCAAAACCAACCAACCAACCAACCAACCAACCAACCAACCAAAAAACAAACAAACAAAAAAACCAAACAAAACAAAAAGCAAAAATCAAAAAAAAAAAAAAAAAGGAAAATGAATCTATAAGACTTCCAGGGCTTCTTGATGTAATGGTCCATGCAAAATGTGCCTATGGCAATAACAAAACTTTTCAGATCTACAGGATAATACAGGAAAATTCAAGCAACCTCAGCTCCTTAAAAGCCCTTTACTTCCAGACTCAAACCTGTTAGAAGGTTCATTTACTTTGTTCTGGACCTATACATTAAGAAAAGTAGCATTCATATAGCAAAGTCACTTGAACTCAGAAATAATTTTCTACATCCATTATATAAATACTTGCCACAAATGATGCCACAGAACAACACAGAGATGCATGCATATTCTCAGGGTAGCACATGAGCCGCAAGAATAGATAGTGACCATAACATTGATTTATTAGCAAACATTCTGCATTATTGTAAGAGCAAAGAGCTGATGAAATATAAGTTCCTTCTCATTTAGGAGCAGCATGGGGACACAGGAATACATTCTGCACGTGAGCAATTGTCACATTCAACAGTATTAAATCTATTGTTTATCCCCCCCCCATCTTTTTTCTTTTAATCTGAAAAGAAAATACTGTAAGCTTCTAGGTTAGAAAATACTGGGTAAGTTTCCACACAGCCACCTCTGGGAAACCAGAATTCCTCCACTCTGGTCCTGACTTCTTCTAGTGATGATTATGTTACCGACCTGAGCACATGTTACAAGTATAGGCTGTAGCAAGTACAGGAACTTGGGCTAAGAGGAGAGAGCATTCAGCTGCGAACTACACACTGTGATGCCCCAGGGATCTGGGCTCTAGAATAAACTAAATAAACTAAAATTCATAGTTCCACATCTGAGTTTTCAGGTCCTGAGTTACCGTACCATGTCAACTGTACCCTCTTTTTCTTCTGGCCCAGGACACCACTGTCACATTTTGTCAGACTCCAAGTTCCTTGCCCAGTTTCAGCTGAGACTTTCTCCAGCCAACATAACCAACATAGCACTTCTCCAGCTCACTTCCTTTTTAGGGTGTCCCAGGTCTCCAGAAAACAACCTCCTACAGCCTACATACAGAACTTTCTAAATTTCTAGCAGTGTTCCAAGTCTGTAGTCTTTGCGTAGGAGAGATGGAGGCAGGTGAGTGACTTAGGTCCAGGAGTTTGAGGCCAGCTGGGACAACATAGAAAGTCCTTTGTCTCAATGTCCAACTTTCTAATTCTATGGCTGACCTGCTACTTTCTGGGAAGAAAGCTCATTTCTCCTCCCACACTCACCCTTCTGGGCCTCTATAAGCTCCTTTCTTACTTATGTCCATTTATCTTAAGCTCGTTCATGCAAGTAAGAGAATAGCCTCGGGTACTTCACCCATACCTGGAATTCTTGAAACAAGCTGTTTATGAAAAGAATTGGGGGCAACACTGGCACACAATTTCCTCAGTTTCCATGGAAATTATCTTTCAAATCACTTTCAGAAGCAAATTTAACTTATTTGCCTTACTTTATACAGCCCTTGCTAGAGGCTAGTTGACACCAATGGTAGGAATCTTAGTGGAACTTTACAGGGAAGACGATTCATGTGCAAGGTTAGGCAAGCCTGTTGTGGGTAGTGGTTGTTTTTATTTTTAGGTAGGTGTGTGTGTGTGTGTGTGTACATATGCACATTCATGCACTTGTGTTATCAGAGTAAAAGCATAAGCATGCCTGATAAATATTCTATACTAAGCTATATTCCTGGCTTTTGGAATTTCGCAAGGGTCTCACTATGTAGCTCAGGCTAGCCTTGAGCTCAGTTTGCCACTATTTAATTAGCCGTTGGTTTCCCTTTAACTA